GGGAACACCAAATAAAGGGTGTTTGGAGGATCCTCCCAGGAGGAGAGATGCATGTCGAAAGTAGACTATGGACTGAACATGTTTGCCACTCAATGCCTCTTCTGCAGACCACAACACCCAAAAGGAGAGAGAGAACACAGGGGATTGCCCTGCCACAGAGGCAGGGGGGAATGGGGGGATGGGGGTGGGGGGGATATTATCCATGGTGGTGGAAAATGGGCACTGGTGGAGGGATGGGTATCTGATCATTGTATAACCGAAACCCAAGCACAAAAAATTGTAAATCTACAACTGTTCCTCATGGTGTTTCACTAATAAAAAAAAAAAAATTTAAAAAAAAGGTTTGCTTACATTGGCTTTTAGCTAGTCACTTGCTTTGTTTATTTATATATAATGTTGGATTGAGATCACCTGGCATTTGTCTTTCTTCTGACCTATTTCATATAGCATAACAACTTTCAAGTGTATTCAACTTGCAGAAGTGAAAGATTTCATCATTTATTTTGGCTAAGTAGTATTTACTATGGGCTGGAGTGACAGCACAGCGGGTAGGGCATTTGCCTTGTACGTGGTCGACTGGGCCAACCCATGTTCGATTCCTCCGCCTCTCTTGAAGAGCCCGGTAAGCTACCGAGAGTATTTCACCCACACGGTAAAGCCTGGCAAGCTCCCCGTGACGTACTCGATATGCCAAACACAGTAACAACAAGTCTCGCAATGGAGACGTTACTGGGCCAATGGAGACGTTACTGGGCCCACTCAAGCAAATCGATGAACAATAGGAGGACAGTGCTACAGTATTTACTATGTCTGTATAGCATAATTTTTTTCTGTTTATTTTATACTTAAAAAATTATAGTTTAGGGCCGAAGCGATAGCACAGCAGGTAGAGCGTTTGCCTTGCACGCGGCCAACCCAGGTTCGATCCCCAGCATCCCATATGGTCCCCCAAGCACCACCAGGAGTAATTCCCGAGTGCAGAGCCAGGAGTAACTCCTGAGCATTGCTGGGTGTGACCCAAAAAGCAAAAAAAAAAAAAAATTATAGTTTACTTTACACGGTTTCAATATGTTAACATCGATGGTATTAATGTATATGGTAACCTCACCTCACCACCACCAAAGTGCCCAAGACCCTCCACCAATGTCCTTTTCTTACTTCCAATCCATGTAGTCATTCTCCCCACCCACTTCTCACCCTACACATGGTATTCTAAGTTCCTAAATCCAAGGTCCAGGGTTTGTTATCATTAGACACTTTTTCCGTGTTTTGCTTCTCAGTATAACACTAGAGTGAGATAGTTTGGCATTTGTCCTTTCTCTGACTTACGCCACTTAACATGATATCCTCCAGTTCCATCAAAGTTACTTGAAATATTTCATTTTTCTTATAGGTGCATAGTATTCCACAGTCTACGTATATCACAACTTCTTTTTCCTTCCATCTTCACTCGACACTTAGGTTGTTTCCTACCTTGGCTATTATACTGAGTGCTACAATGAACATACAGTTATGGCTATATCTTTTCTGATTAATGTTTTTATACTTGAGGGTAGGTGCCAGGAGATGGAATCACTAGGCCAGATGGAAACTCTATTCTAGCTTTTTGGAGATATCTCCATATTGCTTTCCATAAAGGCTTAACCAGAAAATATTCCCAGCAATCCCTCATTCACTAATGAGTGTTCTTTTTTTCACCACATCATTGCCAACTCTTGTTTCCAATCTTTTTGATATATGCATTCTCACTGTTACATGCTCTCTCATTGTGTTGATTCACGTTTTCCTGAAAATAAGTGATGACGAGTACTTTTTCATATGCCTATTGACCATCCATATATCTTTTCCTGAGATGTTTCTATTCATCTCCACCCCATTTTAGATGGAGTTATTAATTTTTTTGAAGCAAGATCATTTTTATTTTTTTATTTTTTATTTTTATTAGTGAAACACCATGAGGTATTATTTTATTGTTGCTAAGCTTTATGACCACCTTATGCATCATAGATATTAGTTCTATGTATTATGAGAAAATATTTTCTTCAGTTCAGTATGGTGCATTTTTTGTTTTGGATTGAGTTTCTTTTGCCATGTAAAAATTTTATTTGATGTAATAACATTAATTGTTTAGCACTGCTCTGTAGCACTGTCGTCCTGTTGTTCATCGATTTGCTCTAGCAGGCCCAGTAATGTCTCCACTGTGATACTTACTTGTTGTTACTGTGTTTGGCATATTGAATACGTCACGGGTAGCTTGCCAGGCTTTGCCGTGCGGGCAAGATACTTGCCCGGTGGTAGCTTGCGGGGCTCGCTGAGGGGCAGAGGAATTGAACTTGCCTCGGCCCGGTTGGCTGCGCTCAAGGCAAAGGCCCTACCGCTGTGCTATTTAAAAATTAAATAAAATAATTTAAAACATCTCTGGGTTGGGTTGTTATCTTAGAGGGTTCTATCTATATTTTCTTCAATATATTTTATGGATTATGCAGATCCAATTTCATTTTTTTGTGTGTAAAGGCAGGGCTGGAGCGATAGCACAGCGGGTAGGGCGTTCGCCTTACAAGCGGCCAACATGGCCGACCCGAGTTCGATTCCTCCGCCCCTCTCGGAGAGCCTGGCAAGCTACCGAGTGTATTCGATATGCCAAAATTTTCCTACCATTTATTGAAGAAGTTTTCTTATTCCACTTCATGCACCCAGTTCCTTGGTCATGGATTAACTATCTATAATTCTGGATGCTTATTTCTGTGCTCTCTTTTACTCTGAAGAGTATTACTTTATTTCAGCACCATTTTTATTACTATAGCTTTACAGTATAATTTAAATTCAGGAGAATTTAAAGAAAGAATTTAAAGAGGGAAAGAACTTTCGCTCTTCTTTCTTCTCAGAATTGCTGATTCCAGACAAATTTTAGTAGTATTTGTTCTAAGTCTTTGAGGACACTATTAGTATTTTGATAGGAACTACATTTAATCTGTATAATCTTTATTTTATTTTATTTTATTTTTACTTTTTGGGTCACACCTGGCAATGCACAGGAGTTACTCCTGGAGGTGCTCAGAGGACCATATGAGATGCTGGGAATCGAACCTGGGCTGGCTGCGTGCAAGGCAAACACCCTACCGGCTGTGCTATTGCTCCAGCCCATAATCTGTATAATCTTTAAGGTAGAATAGTAATTTTGACTATGGTAATTCTTCCTATCCATGAACGTGGAATATTTTTAAAAATTCCCTGCTGTCTTCTTCTAATTTTTTCAGTAGTGACATAGTTTTAAATGTATATGTCCTTCATATATTTTTTTATTTGATTTTTGGGTATTTGATGCATTTTGGACATTTTTAAATGAAGTAGTCTTTTTTTTCTCTTTCTCTTCTAGTTCACTCTTTGCACAGAGAAACGCAACAGACTTTTGTGCATATAGAAATGCAATAAATAATTTGTTGCTTTGCTGTATTGGTTTATTGTTTCTAGGAAGTTGTTAGTGAAGTCTTTTATGTATATTATCAAGTAATACAACATGTTTTTTCCTCTTATACCTACTCTTCCATTTATATTATTATATCATACGGAAATAGTGAGTTTCACTTTTTTAAAAATTTAAATTCCTTTGGTTTCTTTTTCTAATTAATTGTTGTGTGAGAACTTCCAAAACTATATTTAAATAACAGAAAAAATAAATAACACAATCTTTCCTTCCTTCCTCCCTCCCTCCCTCCCTCCCTTCCTTCCTTCCTTCCTTCCTTCCTTCCTTCTTTATTTTTTATTTTGGGACTGTGCCCAGCAGTGATCAAGCCTTACTCCTGCCTCTACACCCAGGGATCACTCCTGGTGGGGTTCAGGGGATCAAACCCAGGTTGGCTGAAAATAAGGCAAGTGCTCTACCTGCTGTGCTATCTCTCTAGCTTCACTGTTTCTCTTTCATCCTATATATGTAAGAGATATCTCTCTTATATTGTGAAGTCACATATAGATGAATAGAACTAATCTTCTGAAATTAAAAAATAAATTGTGAAGTTGATAAAGTAAAAAACTATACCTTCTTTTTTACTGCTACATAAATGTAATAAAATAACATTATTAATAATTCTGATAATACATTTTTAAATTACATAAAATAGATAAATCTTACAAATGTAAAATACTTTTAACAGCCTTATCTAAATCACCAAAAATCAGAAGCAATCAAGATTTCCCTCAACAGATGAGTAAGTAAATTATGGCATAGCTATAAAATTCAGTGGTAAAAAGTGATAACTGATAATTTATTGAGTCGCTAACATGGATAGTTGAAAAATTCTTTCCTAAGTGGAAGAAGATGGCTAATGTAGCCAGACACTGTGCAGATATAGTCTACATGTGGAATATTCAATTCACGTAACATTTGGGGAAAGGTAAAATTATAGCAGTGGAAAACTTACCAGGAGTCAGGGCTCATAATGGATTTTTATTGCTGTAGGAAATATGTCTCTATGAATTTAGAGAAACCCTTAGAACTGCACATCACTAGGAACTAATGTGAAATAAAACCTCAACCAGCATACTGAAGATCCTTGAATGGAATGCAGGCTATGACCAATCAATCCATTACCAATGTCTGAAGGTCAAAGAGTGAAAAAAGAACTAACCTAAGTAAGTTTGTAAAACTAGTGCCTTAACTGCAAACCTGGCAATGCTCAGGGGTTATTCCTAGCTGGGCACTCAGGAATTACTCCTGTGGTGCTGCTCAGTGAACTATACAGGATGCCAAAAGCAAACCTTGGTCCTGCTGTACTATCTTTCCACTCCCTGGAACCATGATTCTTTCTGATGTTTAAAGGTTCAATGGTCTGTCATTCTACTTAACAAAAGCTTCTATAAACTTACGCATTAGAAAAAAAGAGTTTCCTTTCACTTACAGTGACCTGTTTTTTAAATTCATAACATAAAAATAAATATATAAGGATTTATCCTCTGTCAATAACAAGAAAGTCTCTAATAAGAAGTAATTCAGACTTAATTACCTTTTTCTTTCGTTAATCCCCAGCCACTTACATAACATGCAGTGTTTTGGTCCAATTTTTGGAAAACATCAAAAGGTAGACAGATAGGCTGTATGTAGTTAGTATATGTCACTGCTTTTTTTAAATAAAAAAGTGCAACATCATTTAAATAAGTTTCCAATATGAAGTTAGGATGGACAATGATTTCCTGGACTTCCATCATTTTGGTTTGTTTTTCATATAGAAAATTGGTTCCAATTACAGCTCTCCAAAAGGCTGGATCTCTGAAAGAGAGTAAATGTTTTCATAAATATACTACGTAACTAAACACAGAACATAATATTTCATGAGTTTTACTATTTATCATGTTAAATAACAAAAAATTAAATTCTATTTCTATGTAACAAAGTTGTGGGCTGAAGCGATAGCACAGAGGGTAGGGCGTCTGCCTTGTGCACAGCCAGCCCGGCCAAGCCGGGTTCGATTCCTCCCCTCTTGGAGAGCCCGGCAAACTTCTGAACGTATCTCGCCCGAGTGGCAAAGCCTAGCAAGCTACCTGGGACATATTCAATATGCCAAACACAGTAACAACAAGTCTCAAAAAAAAAAAATGGAGACTTTACTGGGCCCGAGCAAATTTGGTGAACAATGGGAGGACAGTGTTTGTTTGTTTGTTTTGTAACAAAGTTGTATCAAATGAAAATCAACATATCATGATATAGGAAATGAGTAAAATATTAATGGATGTGAAATTTCAATAACAGATTCTAATACATGAGAATTGAAAAATATGAGGCTGGAACCATAGTACAGCAGGTTGGGCACTTGCCTTGCATGCAGCTAACCCAGATTTAATGCCCAGCATCCATGGAGTCCCCTGAGCCATCAGAGTGATCCCGGAGTACAGAGCCAGGAGCACAGCTGAATGTGGCCCAAAAAACAAGGGGAAAAAAATCAGAGGAGGATTTGTTGAAATAAGATCAACAAAAAGGTGATAAGATGAAGTTGGGTGACAGGTATTAGGAAGCTCATTAAATGGGTTTTCTACTGTTTTTGAATTAGCATGAGAAATTACAAATTAAGGTAGAAATCAAATTAATACAAAGCGCTAGCATAAGAACTTTATGAAGTATAATCTAAATATAAAACCAAGAAGCACTAATGGATTTTGATAGTCTTTTGTTATGTTTTTATTTGGGGCAACACCCTGGAGTACTCAGGGCTTACTCCTGGCTTTGAATTTGGAACTCACTCCTGGTGAGCTTGGAGACCATACGGGATGCCAAGGATTAAACTTGGGATGCTTGCAAGGCAAGCACCTTACCTGCTATACTATCACTCCGGCCCCTTGTTGTTTTTTTTTTTAACTGTTGTGGGACCACTCCCAGTAATGCTTGGGCCCAGCAATACTGGAGGTAGGGGTGAGGCATGCAATGCCTCAGTATCAAACCAAGGGGTTATGTTATACCACTTGTCACATATCTGGCCTCAAGATTTTTGAAAGGCTTAAAGAAAAATTAAAAGCAAGCAAAAATAAAACCAAATTTAAAAAAACTTTTCTAGCCAAAAATAAAGGAGTTGAGAAGATAGTTCAAAGGGTTGGAGTGTATGCTTTGCATGCTGGAGCCCTAGTTTCAATCACTGGTGAAGGATGGCCCCAGGCCACCTCTAGGAGTGACCTCTGAGCACCAAGTGAGGAGTAGCCCTGAGCACCATTAGCTGTGGCCCAAACACAAAAACAAAAAGGGACTGGAGTGATAGTAAAGAGGTGTAGATAAAAAAATTTTTTAAGATAAATTGAACTTTCTAAGATTTTTTTTAAGATAAATTGAACTTTTGTCAAAATCATGAACTTTTGAGTGTCAACTAACACTATATCAAGATAGTGGGGAAACGACCCAAATCCACAAGTGGTTTCAGAGAGATGTAACAGCTCAGTCTAATGAGGTAGGCCTGGTCTCTGGGTTCAGTTCTCTGAAGCCTCTCACGATGGGGGCAGACCAAGACCCCACCTTGTTGGAAGACCCAGTACTCCACCCACACTTGTTTCCAAGGGCATATAAATGGCCCGGCTGTGACACCTTACTGCTGTGTCATCCCAGTTCCACAGCCCCTAGAGGGACATCTACAAATTTCACAGTACTGACGGCTCAGTTGTAGCACAGAAAATTTCATGTGAACATTGCATAGAAGCCCATTAAGCTCAATGAGTGAAAACAATAGCTTAGATAAGTCAACAACTGCCTAAAAGGTCAGCAAATCTTTGGACAATGACTTTAGAAATACCATTATGAGATATTTGTTGTAACAAGCAATATAAATTCTTTTGTACCTGCTAAGGGGGCACACTGTGGGGTGGGTGGGTAACGGGAGACTGGTGGAGAGAAAGACACACTGTTCGTGGGACTGATGTTGGAATATTGAATACCTGAACTGACTGTCTTATGAACAACTTTGTAAAAAAAAAGCCTCAGGTGTTTTTAAAGAGAGTGAATGATAACACAAAATATGAGACGTTTAAAATTCATATATTTGTTAAGAGATTAATATCCAGAATACACTAAGAACTTAACTCATAAGTAGCCCAATTCAAGTATGGGCAAAGGGCTTCAGCAGACATTTCTCAAAAAAAGATACATAAATTACCAATGTAAATAATCAAATAGATTCTCAATATACTAACCTTTAGAAAAACAAAACCACAATAGGATTCTACTTCACATTCATTAGGGTAGTTACAGAGTAGTGATAGTACTGATGTGATGTGCTAAAAATACAAATACTGATATCCTAAATCTACCAATTAGGGGTGAGTGTTGGGGCAAAAAAATAAAACAAAAAATATTGCAGAGACTGCACAGATTTTGGGGACCATTTGGATAGTTGAAATAGGAGAAATCAGGGAATTATTTGGGTAATGAAGCTACTGGTGTTATATTTTTAAAAGGCAGGGTCCAAGGAAATAGGCATTTGCCTTAAACGTAGTCATGCCAGATTCAATCCATTGTCCCACACGGTCCCCCAAATCCCACTAGATGTAATCCCTGAGCACAGAGCCAGGAGTAAGACCTGATTTGTAAGATAACCTTGGTTTGTTCTTTCTTCTTTGCCATAGGGAGCTTAGGTTTATTGGGTTACACCCATCACAGTGCTCCTGAGACACTCCCATTCCTTAGTTTATTTGTAACCTCTTTCTTTGTGCTCTGCTTCCCCAACTGGTCAATCACCTTTTTCTCCTAATCAGACGCTGTTAACTTGTAAGGTCAGATCCTTCTAAGGACACTGGACTTCTATTCATGAGTGAAATATTGCCTTTCTCTTCTCCTTATATACTTTTACTTCAAAGCAATGTCCTTTTTGTATAGACACAGGAAGACAGTTAATGCTATGCTTTTGTAACTTGGGAGTTATTTGACTTCAAATAATCTTCACTCCTGGGCATCTGTTTTCTCGACTTAAGCCTCAGCTGCCCTTACTTTTTAGAACCCAAAAAGCAGGGTCCTGACGAGGGACTGGATGGACCCAGGACAAGCTGTGAGCTACCCTGGCATCCAAATGGGCCAGGCCAAAGCGCCATAATACTTAACTATAAATTAAGACATGATCATGGACAGATTCTGTCATGATCTAAAAAGTAACAACTAGATTAGGACCCTGCTAGGATTAAGAAAGACTAATCTGGCCTGAGCACTATAGTCTGAGATGCCCCCAGGAAAGCCATCCTATAAGCTTAATGTATCTCTGTATCCATACAAACTGACTAACATTATGAATGCTTATATGTTTGTTATACAAAGGAAAGGGAAATACACCCAGATAGATGGAATTTCACTCTTGGGTGGGTTGTCCTGCTCAATGAAAGTTTGTCCTAGAAGAAGCTTCCCCTAAGGGAAGGATTTTAGCCCTGTTGATTGTATGACCACATCTATGTGTAATCCCCAACCCCTCATGCTTGGGGAGATAACTAGACGGTAAGAGTGGGCGAGGGGAGAATCCGAGAGGATCAGGCGATCCAGAAGGAGGATGGAGAAGAATGAAGGAGGAGAATCAGGAGAAAGAGAATGAAGTAGAATGTAGGGGGGAATCGGGGAGAATCAGGGAGAATCAAGGAGAATCTAGGAGAAGTATGAAGGAGCAGGGTCCAAGCGGAGGATGAAGGGGATCGGGGAAGGAGGAGGAAGAGAATGGAGATGGGAATGGAATAAACTGTAACTGACACCAACCAGCCTGGCCCTCATTCTGTCCTTCATCTGCCCAATCGCCATCGGCCGCCCAGGGGTGGAGGAAGCAGTAAAAGACCACCAAACGCAGGCGGTGAGAGAGAGAGCCACTGGGCCCTTTGTAATTTATTTCTGAATACACACTGATTGTAGCTGGGTGTGACCCAGAAGCCCCAGAAAAAATTTTAATAAAAGAAAGACAAAGGGCGGAATTCATTGTATCACTGTATCACTATCATCCCGTTGTTCATCGATTTATTCGAGCGGGTGCCAGTAACGTCGCCATTCATCCCAGCCCTGAGATTTTAGAAGCCTGTCCTTACTCATCTTTCCCAACACTGCTGTATTGGGGCTCTTTCAGGGTCAGGGAAATGAGACCCGCTATTGTTACTGTTTTTGGCATATCAAATATGTCACAGGTAGCTTGCCAGGCTCTGCTGTAAGCATGCAAATAACAGGATAAAAAGCATGCAAAAAATAAAATAAACTTTTTATTCTATCAAACATGCAAATACTAGAATAAAAAGTTTATATGAATAAGATACTTTAGCAGAGGTCACTTTTAAAAAATCTCTATATTGGGGCTGGAGCGACAGCACAGTGGGTAGGGCGTTTGCCTTGGCACGCGGCTGACCCAGGTTCCATTCCCAGCATCCCATATGGTCCCCTGAGCTACCGCCAGAAGTAATTCCTGAGTGCAAACCAGGAGTAACCCCTGTGCATTGCCAGGTGTGACCCCCCCAAAAAAAAACCTCTACATTTTTAAGCTATACGGTGCAGATTAACTTAAAATTACTTTTAACTAGAATAGCAATGATATTTACAATTGACTAAAAACCTTAATAGGATGTTAGGCAGAAAATTATGGCACATCAATGAATCTTCTGGAAAATAAGACTATGCTTTCATGGGAAATTTTTCATTATGTGAAGAACTAGAAAAAATATTATTTATTCAATTCTAAATTAAGAATAATAATCACTTTATTAAGTGATCATTAATTAAAGGATATTGAAGGACATAATTAGAGGGGAAATTAATACTTTAGTTTTGAACTTGTTAAAAATCATATTGCTGATAGTTTAAATGATCACTCTGGACAAAAACTGAGTGCTGACAACACCCAATAGGAGAGAGAGAACAAAAGGGAATGCCCTGCCACAGAGGCAGGGTGGGATGTGGGGGGGATGGGGGGTGGGAGGGATACTGGGATCCGTGGTGGTGGGAAATGGGCACTGGTGGAAGGATGAGTACTTGATCATTGTATAACTGAAACCCAAGCACAAAAATTTGTAAGTCTGTAACTGTACCTAATGGTGTTTCACTAATAAAAAAAATAAATTGAGTGCTGAAAGGAAGTAAAGTGATATGCATGTTACCCTTTCAGCAACAATATTGCAAACCTCAGTGCCTAAAAGGGAAAATAGAGAGAGAGAAAGAGAGAGAGAGAGACAGGGAGAGACAGAGACATACACAGAGAATAGGAGGTAGCAGGAGTGGAGGGTGGCGGTGGGTGGATGAGGACATTAGTGGTGGGAAACGCGTACTGGTGAAGGAATAGGTGTCCATGTTGTCTTCCAAAAAGGCTCGACTAGAGGCCCTTTCCCCCACATCCTTGCCAACACTAGCTGTTGTTCTTTCTGATGAGTGCCAGTCTCTGTGATATGAGAATATTCTTATATTTTAAAATAGTTGGGGAAGCTTCAAAATGACAAAATAGCACTTTGTGCAAGTTTCATTTGTTCAAGTGTTCAAAGTTTCCTTTGACCACAGCTACCTTCGGTCAGTTATGCATCATCATCTTTGGCCTATTTGGTTATACAGGTAGCAAAGTTCAGGAGTTGTGGTAGAGACCATATGATCTGTAAAACCTAAAATATTTACTACCAATGGTACCAGAGTAGGGACGGTGGTTTGCTTTGCACATGACCAACCTAGGTACAACTCCCAGCACCCCATGTGCTCCCCCAAGCAATCCCTGGGCACAGAGCCAGGGAGAAGCCCTGGCACCGCCAGTTGTGGGCTAAAACAAAGAAAAGATTCATTTTCATTACAGAAAATGTCAACTTCTGACTTAAAGGATCCATTAACTTTTTTATATTTAGGTACTGTGATTTACAATGATGCTAATATTGTTTCAGTAATACCTGAAATATGTACATTATCTGAAAAATACTACATACATTGCTACCCAACACCCACCATCAGAGTATCAGTATCCCTCCACCACTGTCTCCATGTTCCCTCTCACCTCCCCAGCCCCCTTTTATTTCTAATACCTGACTAGTAAACTTAGTTCAGTTCAACAATATTGTTGGCTATTGTGTATTCCCTTACTGTGTTTCCTTATACTCCACATGATAGAGATAATTTTGCATTTATAAACAGTCCATTAAACAAATGGTGTCCTATTTGAAGGCATTGTGGCTACTTGAAAATGGGAATTAATGAACATGGATGAAGTAAATAGGTGTTCTACCTTTACCATGAAAATATCCCCTATGGGAAATGTGCTGGAAGGGACAGGTGCTGGAAAATTGTATGACTGAAACCCAATCATAAACAACATTGTAACTGGTGATTCAATTAAAGGTAAGGTAAGGTAAAGGCCCTCCTGTTGATCGTCGATTTGCTCGAGCGGGCCCAGTAACGTCTCCATTGGAGACTTTGTTGTTACTGTGTCTGGCATATCGAATACTCTCGGTAGCTTGCCAGGCTCTCCGAGAGGGGCGGAGGAATCGAACTCGGGTTGGCCATGTTGGCCGCTTGTAAGGCGAATGCTATATATATATATATATATATATTTATTTATTTATTTATTTATAATATATATATTATTATATTATATAATATATATATATATTTCCTCCGCCCCTCTCAGAGAGCCCAGGCAAGCTACAGAGAGTATCTCACCTGCAGGTCAAAGCCTGGCAAGCTACCCAGGAAGTATTCGATATGCAAAACAGAGTAACAACAAGTCTCACAATGGAGAAGTTACTGGGCCCGCTGGAGCAAATCGATGAACAATGGGAGGGCAGTGACAGTGACAGTGACCATAATAAAGGAATTGTTTCTAAATACATACCTAGTTCTAATGCAGTGAGCAGCTGTAAGAATCCACCTTTCAGCTATTAAACAACCTCCACATAAATGAACAAACGTTTTCTCATTCGGAAGTTGTAGGCTGACAATCCATGGCCAAGAGCCAATATCAGCAACTTTACCCCCTATTATCCGAGACCCTTCCCATATATTATTAAGTGGTGCTTTTCCACAACCTAAAAATAAAATTAAAACATTATTTGGTCTAAACATCTTATATATGCAGTATTTCCTAATTATAAGACTTCGATGTATTTCAATACTTATTTAATCAATAGGGCAGTGAGTCAGGGAGACAGAGGAAAGATCTGAAATTCAAGCTTTGCAAGCAGGGTTCCCAGCACCACATGGTCCCCCAGATATTTTCAGGAACAGACTCAAATTCCACCCACCACCTCCCCCTCCCCCCAAAAAACAATAAAGCTGCATACTTGAGGCATAAACATATTTTGCAAAAAAATACCAAACAACTTAAAGGATGCCCAGGGAACTAGCAGAATGTTTTATGCCTTGAAGACATACGGTAATGAGTTCAAATTCTTGGTACCCACATGCAGTAAATGCCTGACGATTCTGTCTGCACATGGTGCACAGCTACCTGTGATCTGCCAGCAGCAACACAACCAGTAATGTGTAAATACCACACACAAAAAAGGAATGCGACCCCCAGAAGCACACTCAAAAAGACATGAGAACCTTGGCCAGCATACCCGCGAAAGGGGTAGATACCACAAGCACCTCTACTGTGGGGACGTATGCAGAGGAAATATGTGCGCACCACAACCAGGCATGCATGCAACACCCATCCTCACAGCATGAACAATGAAGCAGGCAGGAGCTTTAAAAAGACCCAAATTCTTTTTTTTTCTTTTTGGGTCACACCCAGCAATGCTCAGGGGTTACTCCTGGCTCTGCACTCAGGAATCACTCCTGGCGATGCTTGGGGGACCCTATGGGATACTGGGGATCGAACCAGGGTCGGCAGCATGCAAGGCAAACGCCCTACCCGCTGTCACTCTGGCCCTGACCCAAATTCTTAAAGGAGAAATTAGATAAGCATGCCTTAGCTGGTTACTTAAAAGGTAAAAAATGTAATGCAATTCATTAAATTTCCATTTAATGGAAACTATTTCCCCCCAAAGCATAAAAATTAGAAAAATATCGCTCAAAAGGTAATGCTTTCTTTAGAGTCTGGAATATGTGAATCAGGAACAAGTTCTAACATTTAACGTTAGGTTAACCCTTTTCAGTAGTAGTGTGAAAGGGCCACTTAATCACCCCTTCAACTCGAATTCCAGTGAATTACCCAGGAAAAACATTAAAACAAACAGGAATAGTATCTTAGGAGTGCTAGGGCTAAACTATTTTGAGGAGCCCACTGAAGGGCCGACACTCTACTGCCTGGTTCTGCCAACCTGGAGAGGCGGTGGGAACAAACAGAAAAGAAAGGGCCCAAATTCCAAGGCTGCAGAAGTCGGGAAAAGCCAAGCAAGAAGGTCCAAAGAGCGCACGGAACCGGCACACTACCCTGCGCGTCCAGCTTTTTCTTTTCCCGAGCAAAAGGGGATCGAAGGGCCTGTTTGGACGGAGATTCACGCCGACCCCCTTCCGAGAGCGAGTCGAGCTCCGAGTATAGGAGAGCAAGAAGCACCAACGGAGCACGCAGGAGTCCCAGCCCCATCTGGGAAGAGGGACACAGGAGGCGGGAGGAGAGGGAGGTGAGAAGAGGCAGCGCAGCCTGCGGGCCGCGGGCCGAGGAGGTACTGGCTGGCGGGCGGAGCTGGGGCGGAGCTTAACCGGCTTGTGGGCGGGGAGTGAGGGGCGGGGCTTAACCGGCTGGTGGGCGGGCACAACGTGAGGGGCGGGGAGCAGGGCTTGAAGCCCGCGGGGGTGGGTGGTGACTGGCTGGTGGGCCGGGTGGGGCGGGGCGTATCTGGCTGATGGGCGGGGTGTAGAGGGGCGGGGCGTATTTGGCTGGTGAGCGGGGCGTAGAGGGGCGGGGCGTATCTGGCTGATGGGCGGGGCGTAGAAGGGCGGGGCGTATCTGGCTGATGGGCGGGGCGTAGAGGGGCGGGGCGTATTTGGCTGGTGGGCGGGGCATGGAGGGGCGGGGCGTATCTGGCTGATGGGCGGGGCGTAGAGGGGCAGGGCGGGGCTATTTGGCTGATGGGCGGGGCGTAGAGGGGCGGGGCGTATCTGGCTGATGGGCGGGGCGTAGAAGGGCGGGGCGTATCTGGCTGGTGGGCGGGGCGTAGAGGGGCGGGGCGTATTTGGCTGGTGGGCGGGGCGTATCTGGCTGATGGGCGGGGCGTAGAGGGGCAGGGCGGGGCTATTTGGTTGGTGGGCGGGGCGTAGAGGGGCGGGGCGGGGCGAGGCCGCACAAACTTGCAGGTGTAGGGCGGGGTTGTGTCCGTTCCCGCCGAGCTGAGACTGGCAGGGTTGCCCTGATGCTGGACTTCCAGACGCGAGCAAGGAGGCATCCACTTACAGGACCGATATACTAGACGGTGCTGCTGCTGCCTGGATCTGAGGTTTCGTTCATTGATGAGACGTACCTGGACCAGGTTAATGCGCTGGAGTATTGTGGTAGGAGGGGAGCAGCTCGAGTCACCGTTGTGCTGTTCCGCAAGCAAGGACCAAGAAGACTTTCAAAAATCTGGTTATCTGAAGAAGGGAGAGGTAAAGCAGAAAGCAACACAGGATTTGAGACAAGATAACCAACGAGAGAGCCCATGTTCAATGATTGTTTTCTTCATCTAACTAGAGAAAATTAAAGTTCCTGCAAACTCGAAGATGATCTGAATACTACCAGCCCCTGGACACACTGCCCATTTACTCCCTTCAACGCCTAACCTGAGAAATGCATCGGTTCTTTCCCCTTGGAAAGCCCTGCGATGCCTCTTTGACATACCAAACTCTTGTGGGGAGGGCTGCAGTTAAACGCAGATTAGTGGCTCTAATTAATGGATCTACTGAGAAAGTAGATGTCCATCTCACACAAGCACTATAGATAGTGTTTGTAAATAAGTATCACACAGTGGCAAGTGTCTTAAGAACTGTTTATCCCAGATAATTTTTTAAATTGACTTATTAAAGGGGAAAACAGGACTTACCTACGAGGAAAACAAGACAGAAAGATACTTAAGCCTAAAATGAATTCAGACATAAAAGATGATTGGTGTGGGCATTGACCGTCTGGGAACGTTCTCTGTAGTAGGAGAATATGAACTGCACCTACAGTAAGGTGAATGATCAAGAAGAAGGAGATGTGAAAATTGACTAGGCTAAGCGTAAGCAAAGGCATGGATATGTATCCAACTCTTCTCATTTCTCCAGACACAGAACTAACAGAACCAACTAGACACATAACTAAGAGATACTGCTCAATCATATTGATAAGACCCCAAATCGGATAATATTACATCTGCAAACTAGAAAACCAGGAAAATCACTGGCATATTTCAATTCCAGACTGAGAAGATGCGGGAGAGTCCTGGTATCCCAAGGACCCAGAGTCACATGCTTAACTGTAGGAGAGCTGGGCAAATGGACATCCCAGCTCAAAAAAGAAGGCCTCCATCCATCCTTTTATTCTTTTTGGACCCCTATAGGACTGGATGACATTTGACCTCATTGTTGAGGTTGAATATTTGTCAGGGGAGACTTTTAAGCAATGTGTGTGGACCCAGGGAGATAACCCAGCTGGTACTATCAATATTTTGCAATATTTTGCATGACTTTCTTGGATGATTCAGTTCTCTGCCAGGTAAAGCAGTGCTTCTCTGACCCTACAGAGCTGGGTCCAGGTAGGCTACAACTTGCACTACCCTGGCGGGCATCCAGGGTTGTACCTGGTAATGCTTGGAGGCTATGTGATTATTATAATTAGACACGTGCTAGTCATGATCTTCAAGCATGCAAGGCATGGGAGGTAGGCTTTGAACGATCTCCCTAGGACTCGAGGGTAGACATTTTGTTTTGTTTTGGGGGCACACACAGCTTTGCTTAGAGCTTATTCCTGACAATACTCTGAGATCACTCCTTACTGGATTTGGGGGACCATATGTGGTGCTCAGGATCAAACTCGGGTCAGCTGAGTACAAGGCACTCTACCGAGGGGAGATATTTTGTGGGATACTTTCTTTTAAGGTAAATTGATGGGAAAGACTGTAAATTTTTACATACATGACCACATTACACCCATACCAAGGTGCCAATGTCCCTCCTCCATAGTCTTTTTGACCCCCTCTGAGAACAGAGCCTCTTTACAAACTCCCCTAATTCAAACGCTATTTTTCTCCAAAAACATTTTCACATACACACCCAGAAGTCATATTTCACTAGTTGATGGGCTTGGTCCCACAAAGGAAAAAAGTCTTATGGTTGTATGGGCACCCCACCATCCTATCAGGACTCTGAAAGAGCCCACTCCCGGGGCTTCAGAAAGTCAAGGACTATCACGCTAGCTTTTGCAAAAAGGGCAAAACTTTATTGCAGTCTGAAGTGCAAGGAAGGCAGAAGCAGTCCTTAAATCTACTTCCTGGTCCCTTTGTTTCAGGGAATATTTGCACACATATAAAGAAGCTTGAAACTTCAGTTTCTTGAAAAACAGGAGGTGGGATTCAGGACAAATAAGATGGAGGCCTTGAAGAAAACAGGTCTTAAAATAAACAGGCTGATGATGTGTTTTCTGTGCATTTTTTCCAAAAGCATAATCTTTCTTAGAGTCTTCTGTTTTGAATATAAAAGGTAAATAGGAAGGGCAGAGGATGCCTGAGTTCCTGTACGTTTTTTTTTTTTTTTATGACTAAAGAGTTATTTGTGTATCTGAAAAGTAGTTTCTGCAAAACAAGAGTGAGAGAAAGAGAAATTTCTTGGCTAACCCAACTTATTAATGTCAGGAAGCTTGGTTCTTTTAGGAACATGCTTTCAAGTTGTCACATAAAAGAAACCCTCATGAAGCTGGAGCGATGGTACAGTAGGTAGGGCATGTGCAAGGCAAGGTTTTCCAGCATCCCATATGGTCCCCCCAGCCCACCAGTACTGACTCAGAGTAAGGAGTAGGTCCTGAGCACCTCTGTGTGTGGCCTCAAAACACTTAATCACTTAAATCACTTAACTTCCCGTTAGTCGTCGATTTGCTCGAGCGGGCGCCAGTAACGTCTCCATTTGTCCCTGTCGCGTGCTAGTGTAGCCCAATGGCATCTGTTCGCTCCGGGAACATGAAGAGCCTCAAACCGATCATTCATGATCTTGACGAAGAAGTCTGACCATCTGGTAGGTGGGCGGCCACGCGGTCTTTTGACATCCCGTGGAATCCAGTCAGTAACAGCTCTAGTCCAGCGGTCGTCTTTAAATCTCATTACGTGACCAGCCCATCTGATTTTCGACACCTTGGCAAATGAGACAGCGTCCCTATCCCATTCTATCCCTCTCAGAAAGACTGGCAAGCTACCGAGAGTATTCCGCCCGCACGGAAGAGCCTGGCAAGCTATCCGTTGTGTATTCGATATGCCAAAACCAGTAACTACAACTGGTCTCATCCACCTGACCCTGAAGGCTTCACCGACATGGCAGCACTGAGAAGGATGAGAAAGGAGAGGCCGACAAAATCTCAAGGCTGAACTAGACTGCCACAACGAAGGAAGACAAAAATGATCGTTTGTATTTTTAATGCACGTAAGCTAGCATCAGATGCATCCATCGAGGACCTGATGGTACAAGCCTCAAAACAATAACAAAAAATAACCCTCATGTATATAATTTTGTTTATGGCTTTTTGGGTCACACCCTGGCAATACACAGGGGTTACTCTTGGCTCTGCACTCAGGGATTACTCCTGGCAGTGCTTGGGGGACCATATGGGATGCTGGGGATCAAACACAGGTCAACTGCGTGCAAGGCAAATGCCCTGCCTGCTGTACTGTGGCTCCAGCCACTCGTGTATATAATTTTGTTATTTTTTATGTTGATGATTTACTTTTCACATTTAAACAGTTGTTACCAGCTTTCAGTGTTCCAGCATCAGTCCCAACTACAAGTGACCTTCCCCCCACCATTGTTCCCGTTTTCCCAACCGATTTCCTTACAGTTTTAGCTGTTAGAAACTGTGAAGAGAAACCATGCCTTCGAATTGTAAGTGAAGAGGGGAAAACTGGGCCAGAGAGCTATCAGAACAGCCTGAATACAAGCTTTGCATGTTGGGAGTCAGAGTTTGATCCCTGAGCACTGCTGGGAGTAGACCCTGAGCACCACCAGGTGTGCCCAACTCTTCCCTCCACCAAGAAAAGAGAAAAAACTGTTTAAAGGTTTCTTTTTTTTTTTCTTTTTGGTCACACCCGGCGATGCACAGGGGTTACTCCTGACTCTGCACTCAGGAGTTACTCCTGGCGGTGCTCAGGGGACCATATGGGATGCTGGGAATCGAACCCGGGTCGGCCGCATGCAAGGCAAACACCCTACCCGCTGTGCTCTTGCTCCAGCCCTCTTTCTGTTTTTTTGTTTGTTTGCTTGTTTGTTTTTTGCTTTTCCTCCGTCCCTCTCGGAGAGCCTGGCAAGCTACCTAGAGTATCCTGCCCACACGGCAGAGCCTGGCAAGCTACCTGTGGCGTATTCGATATGCCAAAAACAGCAACAACAAGTCTCACAATGGAGACGTTACTGGTGCCTGCTTGAGCAAATCGATGAACAACGGGAGGAAAGTGCTACAGTGCAGTGTCACACCCAGCGATGCTCTGGGGTTACTCCTGGCTTTGCACTCAGGAATTACTCCTGGCAGTGCTTGGGGGACCATATGGGATGCCAAGGAATGAACGCGGGTCAGCCGCATGCAAGGCAAACGCTCTCCCCGCTGTACTATCGCTCTGGTTTAAATTTGATTTTATTCTGGTCTTAGTCCAGAATCAGAACCTAACTGTAATTTAAGAGGAGTGCTAATTGCTCTGCATAATTGAGAGAAATTTGTCATTTTACAAACAAAACTGGGGGAAAAGGGAGAAAAGAAGCAGGAAGCCAAACAGCATTGCCATGCTTGAACCAAAAAGGTGCCATAAGGAAGTTTCACTGCGGTGGATTCACTCAAGGTTTTTTAAAGAACAGTGATGTCTTATGTTGCTTTTAAATGATTTCATCATCGCTGTCTTACCTATTGTGAACTTCACTTCTCTTAACCTCAGACCTTCAGTATCAGAGAACAGGTTAGACTTGTGGTAGCCTGGAAGGCAGGTCCCACATGAGGAAATAAGTCTGGGTCAGTGAAAGGACAGCAGCCTTGATTCTCTATCATCATTCTTTAGTGCTTGAGTGCACTAAATCAAAGGCAGCTGTTAGTTGGAGGCTTACAGGAAGTAACATGGGGAAAAGACCAAACACCTACTTTGAGCTGAAATCAGCCACATATGTGGGAGGGCTTGGGGGTACGAGGTTGACAGGCGATGCTAGAAAAATAAGTTGCAGCAAGACCTGATTCAGGGGCAGACAAGAAAAAAGTTCCCTCTTCTCCAAAGAGTTTAGTGGAAAATTATCACTGACAGGAGGACCATATATGTCCCTCAAGCACTGCTAGAAGTGATCCTTGGGCTGAAAGCCAGGAGTAATCCCTGAGCACCGCTGGGTGTGGCTTAAAAATTAAAATTAAAAAGAGAATTACTATTAATTTCCTAAATAGGCTGGAGTGATAGCACAGCGATTAGGGCGTTTGCCTTGCACGTGGCCCACCAGGCCAACCCAAGTTCG